GTGTGGTGGGAGAATGTGGGGGGGGTCTGGGGCCCACTCCAGGCAGAGCGGGGAGAGACCCAGCTCCACATATGGGTGGAGCAGGGCCTCCGGCTCTGAACTGTAATGCTGGCCAGCACTTCTGGGTTCAGGGGCATAGGGTCCCCCTTAGGGGCCCGATTCGACCGAATCGGCCTAAGGCCGGCCCTGGCTGAAAGGATAAGAGAGGGAGCTCCCAGCTCAGTTGAAGCCCAGTGGCTGAGCAGGGAGGAGGCTGGGCTGAGCTCAAGCTGCAACAATGAGCCTTACTCTGCCAACCCCAGCGGGATGACTGGGCTGGGCTGCTGGGACCACTGCCGCACCCTGAGGACTGCTCCAGGTTGCCACGACTGCTGAGAGAGCCCAGTGACCACAGGAGGCTGCAGGGACCCCTGCTAAGGCCTGAGGCCTACCCTGAACCCCCAGGACACAGACCAGGCCCCAAAGAGTGGGCCGGGCCCCCTGGGCCTCTGCTTCAGCCTACCCTGGAGGAACTGATGGACCCTGCTAGCTCTGTTGACCCCCACAGAGCCTGCTGACCGGAGCTGGAGCAAGGTAGGACCGCAGGGGGGACTAGAAAGCAGCCCAGGGGGAGCCGACCTAACGCCGGCCGAGGACAGGAACGTCTGCTGGGCTGCGGGTTGTGGCCTGGACCCCTGCTATCCCACTGATCGGGCCCGTGTGTTGTGGCCAAGAGCCCCGTAGACCCGGAAGAAGCTAGTGCTGCTGCTGATAGGGCCCTGGGATGGGACACAGTGGAGCGGGTGGGCCTGTGTCCCACCGCCACCCTTCCCCCTTGGGTGGCAGATTCCCCCCCGCCGAAGGGTGAAACCGCCTGCCCCTGTCGGTTCTCGGCCAGCAAGGAGACCTGAACCTCAGCTCATAAACTGTAACTGACATCGGGTGTGGTTTATAAACTGCAAATGTTTGTTTGTCCACCTGGGCTCAGGACTGCTACTGTTTGCTTGCTCCTCCCGCCTTGACCCTGCGGCCGGGCTCTGAGACTAGTCGTAGGGAAGCAGCAAGGCCGCCCACGGTCTAAGACTACTACAGCGTGGCACACTTACAGCCAGTGTTGCAATGTATTTACATGCCAGATATGCTAACTATTCATATGCCCCTTCGTGCTTTGACTTGTAGGCTCTAAGTTTTAATTTTTGTTTTTGAGTGCAGTTATGTTAAAAAAATTCTAAATTTGTAAGTTGCATTTGCACAATAAGGAGTCTGCCCTACTGTACAAGCTCTGATCCTCTCATGAATTCACGTTGTCTTCTGTGTTTCTCTTCATCAAAGTGACTTGCCTGCAATACATACAAATGCCACATTTAATTAAAACATTTTCAAACTTTTTCATTGTATCTTTTACTTACAGTATGTTGGATCAGGAAAACCAGACATCTGTAACTAGTATATATAGAATATATGTTCCGTCTTTAGGGTTGTACATAGCATCCACATATAGTTTACAGTAACACCTGCCCTTGTGTTGTTTCATCTGAACATTAGAAAGCTTTTATAGACATTAACTCGGCTTTACAGTATCTCTGGGAGATAAGAAATTATACCCATTCGCAGGTGTCTGAAGTAATACATAAAGAAGTAAAGTGTTTTGCTTTAGGTCGCACAGTGAGTCAGTATTAGAACAAGGAACAGAACCTTTCCTTCCCATATTACAATGAGGGCTGGATTAAGGGTGGGGCTAGCCGGGCAGCTGCCCGGGGCGTCAACCTAGAGGGGGCACCTGATGGCAGCTGTAAGGGATGCCACGTGCCCAGGGCCGGGGGCCATGCGACACCCCTTAGAGCTGCAATCAGGCGCCACGCACCCAATTGCAGCTGTAAGGTGCGCAGCGCACTGGGGGTCAGGGCCGCGCATGCGCCGTGCGCCCGGGGGTGGAGCCGGGCATGAATCGTGCACCCGCTGCCCAGGGTGCAGGAATGGCTCGAGCCGGCCCTGATTACAATATGAAGTAAATTTGGATAAGATCTGACAGCAGCCAGCTTTCTAGCTGCAGCTGTGTTCTAGAAACATGTATTTTATGCTTGTTAATTCAAGCAAACTTCTCTAGGTGTTATATACCACCAAACATTTATCAGTTAAAACAAATGGACTTTATAATGCGAGGCTGGCACAACTGTAATGCGGGTGGTAATAATTAAGCAACAAAGTGGTGATGTACTTCTTTGATTTTGGGTATACATTATACACCCCAGTAAAGCTTTGGTCGCAATTATTTGCCAGTGCCTTATCTTAGTGCATGTACTACAGGTCCCATGAGACTTCTTAGGTTAGATAAATGTCTATCAGGGATGGTCTAGACTGTACTGGGTCCTGCCATGAGGGCAGGGGACTGGACTCGATGACCCCTCGAGGTCCCTTCCAGTCCTAGTATTCTATGATTCTATGATTCTTTTGAGGGCATTCCACACACCTATGTTTTATTTAGATTATATTGTGAGTGTCTGTCTGGCTTTGGTATTCTAGGTACTTCATAACAACACAAACACAGCTTTAAAGTTCAATTTTAACAAGGAAAGGAGGAAAAAGGTAGGCTTAAGTTTTAAAATTAAATTGCTGTGCTGTGCTGAAGGCTCCATGAAAACTATTTTTTACATGCTAATTAAAGGAGAGAATTCAAGGGCCTTTCTTTTAAAAGAATGCCCAAGCTACAGAGACAAAAACACAAACCAGCACAGTAACAGTAGTGTGCAAAGTGTAAGAAGAGAAGTGAGGTCACTGTGGTAGCTAGATGGGAATGACATCCAACATGTTAAAAACTTTACATTTCTTAAAACCAAAACTTTAAACCCAGTTTCTGCCCCAGAATGGGAGGTAATATAGTTGCTTCATGTCTGGTGACATTTTAAAATCTACTCTCCTTGCAGCTGACACCTGATTTCTGACATCTAAGATCATTTGATCGTCTGTTTCTTGGCTCTACCTCCTTAGTAGAGACTCTTCAATATTAAAAGGACACTCTTGGGTTAAAAGTTATCTAGTGTTTAATTTTCATTCCCTCTGTAATTAGTTACAGCTTAGTTTGTATGAAAACTGGAAATTGAAAAAGAAATCCAATTTACTTATGCTGCTTATGCTCTTTATTTTTTGTGTTTCACGCATCTTGGAAATTTAAAAAGATCAATCTATTTCATTTTTGTTTATAGCAAGTTGTTCTTGTTGGGTCTTCCCTTCTAGCTGGAGTGCTTGGGTTGCAAAAAACTGCAAAGAGATATTTAAATTGTAACTAAATCTGTAATCCTGCAACTGCCTCAGCATGGGTGGGCCCTCAGTTCCCCGCTGGAGTGCAATTGATTTTCTAGATAGTTAGGATTTCAAGGATATCTGCACATCTTGTATGGTTCCTATGTATATGCTGGAATGTGTGTGGGTGCTGGCATGCACTTGAGATTGCATGACATTTCTCCGCATGTTCTCAATGTATAGGCATGTTCTCAACTATAGAAGGTTTTTAAAAAAATATATAACATTGCTCTTTTATTATTTCCCTCACTATGTAAAAGAAAGAAAAGCACATGAGTATTTCACCAGGTTTTTGGCTTTACTGTGCTATAACAGAAACTTGGTAACTACCACGGCTAAAATTGAGTGTGGGCGGATCAGTTTCCAGCTTTCTCTGTTTCATAGAAGTTCCGTTTACTGAAGTTAACAATGCCACTGTTGGTCCAATATGACAGTTTCACTTCTCCTGTTAGGCATAGTTCTATTTCTGGAGTCGTTCTGTCATATTTTATAAGTTTTCTGTCTGAGAGAATCTTACCTTTTGTCTGCTTCCTTCAGTTTTAGTTCTAAACTGGGCTTTGTATGACATCATTGCTAATTTTTCTCTGGGGCAGAAAATTAGACATGTGACTGGAATCGGTTATAGGTGGAGTGTGTAGCCCAACAGATGTTCAAGCTGCCTACCTTCTCTTTGAGTTCCCTTTTTAAGAACTGCTTCTACCATACAAAAATGAGTTAGTAACTGACAATCTAGTGTGTGTATTACATTTAAAAAATTGTTAAAAGACAGTTATTATGGAAGCAGATTTCAGTACTCAGCTATGAGAAGATGCCCAAATTAAGGGTTCCTGTGAGCTAGTGTAACCCACACACCTCGCGTGGTTCATTGCCCCATGTAGTGGCACTTAGACCACTTATAGCGAGAGAGAAGAACAAGGGCCCTGCACAAGCTCAACACAGAGCTCATGCTGGAGACCCTCTCTCCATGTGCAGGAGCAAGACCTGTGCAACCACACACCAGTTGAGAAGCATTTTTGGAGGATGGACACCAGTTCCAACTGGTGGGACTGGCTGGTCATGGAGTGATGGGACGAGCAGCAGCGGCTCCAAAACTTCTGCATGTGGGAGGCCACTTTTTTGGAGCTGTGTGCCTGGTCGCCCCCGCCCTCCGATGCGACATCCACCTGCGGCTCTCCATCCCCCTGGAGAAGCGGGTTGCAATTGCCGTCTGGAAGCTCGCCACCCCCGACAGTTACCAGTCGGTGGGCAACCAGTTTGGCACGGGGAAGTCCACCGTTGGGGCCGTCCTCATAGAGGTAAGGCACTCTCCGGCTTCAGTCCCTGCAAGGGGGGGGTGTCCTGGAAAAGGGGGGCCCTCAGGAAATGGATTGGCCATTCTCTGTTTTGTGTGGTTTTTTTGGTCTCCTTCTGCAGGTTGTAAGAGCCATCAACTCCATCCTGCTGCGCTGGGTCATCCGCCTCGGA